TTTGTACGAGCATGAAACATACAATTCTCACTTAATTTTAGTGCTGACTGGTTATCATTAAACAAGGTAGTTACACAGTCTATATTTAAACATTCTTTCAAAAAGGTACGAATGAATAACGATTCTTTACAAGCATTGGCAAGAGCCATATATTCAGCCTCGGTGCTTGACAATGCAACGGTTTTCTGTTTGCGACTCTCCCAAGACACTATGGAATTACCTATTTTAAATACATACCCTGTGTATGATTTCCTGTCAATTTCACAGCTAGCCCAGTCCGCATCGACGTAGCCTCGCACGTTGAGGTCGGATTTTTCATAGATCAGGCGGTAGTTGATTGTTCCTTTTAAATACCTCAAAATGCGTTTCGCGGCCTTCCAATGTGCATCAGAGTAACAGTCGTTGAACTGAGACAGGTAGCTCACAGCATGAGCTATGTCGGGCCTAGAACACACAGCAATGTACATGAGACATCCAATTAAGTTTCTATATTTTACATTTTCAGTCTTCTTTTCTTCTTTTTGTAATTTCAGTCCGACTTCCATTGGTGTGGACACCGGTTTACAGTCTTCCATCTGAAACCTTTTTAAAACAGACTTTATATAGTCAGTTTGATCAAGAGTAATGACATTTTCTTTTTCTGTACAAACTCTCATTCCAAGAAATTCATGAACCCTTCCCAAGTCTTTCATTTCATATTCTTTCATCAACTGGTCCTTGACTTCCTTCTTTATCTTGTTTGAAGATGTAAATAGTAAAATGTCATCAACATATAAAGCAATTATTGTCAGCTGTCCATGCTTATATCTAAAATAAACGCAAGGTTCAACTGATGATTTCTGAAAATGCATTTTTCTTATCAGTACCTCATTAATTTTATCATACCAGCATTTTGCAGCTTGCTTTAAACCATAGATTGATTTGTTTAATTTATAAACTTGGTTTTCCTTCCCCTTTATAACAAATCCTTCTGGTTGTTCCATCACTACTTCTTCTGTGAGGTCACCATTTAGAAATGCCGTTTTCACATCTAGATGATCAATACTTAGGTTCAGCTGGGCAGCAACAGCAAATAACATTCTGATCGTAGAGTATCTGACTACAGGAGCAAATGTTTCTTGGTAATCTATTCCATATTTTTGGCTGTAGCCTTTTGCCACTAAACGAGCTTTATGTTTTAGTACTGTTCCGTTCAAGCCTCGTTTTATTTTAAAAACCCACTTACATTTCACAGGTTTCTGGCCTTTCTTTAATTCTGTTAAAGTCCAACAATTGTTTTTATAAAAAGAGTTATACTCATCTGTCATTGCATCATGCCACTTCTTGGCATCTTCACTGCTCAAAGCCTCCTCCACGGTGACCGGATCATCCACGTTCCCGTAATTTGCCGTTGCTGCCATACCAGCATACTCATCGGAGTCTGACTGACTGAAGAAGGTTGAAGTCTCTTCAGAGTCATAGCACGAACTTTCTGGAACGTAAGTTTTATCCAGCACATCATCTGTACTCTCTACAGTCAAGTTACTTAAGTCAGTGTCACTTGATTCGATAATCTCTTGTCTCCTCTGTTTTGGTATATTATTATGATCATCATCAGATAGACTTATATTATCAGAACCAGTTTGGGACTGGTTGTCATCAAATGACCCTGGCTCAGACTGAGGTTGGCCAGATGGTTGCTCTCCACTATTGTCAGTAGTTTCTACCGATACAACAGGCGAGAACAAGTCAAGACCTTCATCATGTGACGTCATAGCATCATTTACAGAGGTATCGTTTTTATCAAATTTATTCTCGAAGAAGACAACATCACGGGCTATCACTACTGCCCTAGGATTATCAAGATCTACAAGCCTATAGCCTTTAGTCTCTTCGCAGTATCCTATAAAAGTGTATGGTTTACTTTTGGGATCTAGTTTCTTCCTCTTTTGAATTAAGGCATATGCGCGGCATCCAAAAATTTTAAAGTGACTGACATTTACCTTCTTTCCTGTAAATTTTTCTTCAGGAGTGGCTCCCATTACGGCTTTAGTTGGTGTCCGGTTTTTGATGTAGACTGCTGTCTGTACTGCCTCAGCCCAGAAGCGCTTGTCCAGACCAGCATCCTGCAGCATACAGCGTGCCTTCTCTACAATCGTTCGGTTGGCTCTTTCGCTGACTCCATTCTGAGCCGGTGAATACGGGACAGTCTTTTGATGAATTATCCCGTGCTGTTCCAGATAAACCTGTAATTTTTTATTCACATATTCAAGACCATTGTCACTTCGCACAGTTTTTATTTTCATCCCTGTTTGTGTTTCTACAAGAGCCTTGAATTTAATAAAACACTCAAACACTTCATCTTTGGATTTCAGAAAATAAACAAAGGACTTTCTAGTAAAATCGTCTGTGAATAATAAAAAATACCTACACCCACCATAAGATGCACATGGCATCGGGCCACATAAATCTGTGTGCACAAGGCCTAAAACTTCTTTGGACCTATTTTCAGACTTTTTAGGAAAAGGTACTCTAGTCTGCTTCCCCTTAACACAAGTTTCACATGATTTATAATTAGTATTATCATAATTAACTCCAATGACCATACCTGATTTCATTAAGTGCATGCTTCTTGAATTCAAGTGTGCTAGACGTCGATGCCACAGCTCTTGGGTGTCTGGAGGTTGCTTCTCAGTGACCTGTTTAGAACTATTAGAACATTCCTCATCATCGCCCCGTGGCATTGTCAAGCATTGAGGTTTCACATTTGACTTAGCATTATTTTCAGACTGTGAACTACAACTTAGTGCAAATCCTATTGTATCTAGCTGATAGACACCATTAGTATATGTAGCGGTGGCTAAAATCTCGTTACAGTCATATATTTTACACATTTTGCTATCAAATTTTATATTGTAACCTTTTCGAGCTAATTCACTAACAGATAATAGATTGTGCGACAACTTAGGAACATAATAAACATTTGTAATTGTTCTCTTACAGTCTTTAAGTGAAATTGTTACATTTCCTTGACCTGCAGTCGACAGTTCATCACCATTAGCTACACTCACTTTTAATACACTCTTGGAATTAAAATCACTCATAACTGACCTGTTGTTACACATATGGTTTGTTGCCCCCGAGTCCACATACCAAACATCACTCCTTAAGTTAGACGATAGCGCTGAAATCAGTACTTTGGACTTGCACTGACTATCCTTCTCGTTTGACTTCTCATTCTTGTTTTTCTTAAACTTCTGCGGACAATTCTTCATGACATGCCCTGGTTTCTTGCACTTGAAACATTTCATTGTTCTTTTAGCAACCAAAGCGCTCACAGTGTCCTTGTCATCGCGACGTTGGTACTCTTGTAGCAGTTTTGCCTTAACAATTTCACTCGATAAAGTTGTGTTATTGTTCTCCAGAGCCATTATTAGTGGATCATACTCTTGTGGGAGACCACTCAATATTATCACAGCTACAAAGTCGTCGTCCAACGGGGAGCCTATGTCACAGAGCTGTTGAGCTAACTCGGTGACGGTGGATAAGTATGTGTCCATGTCACCCTCAAGTTTTGTAGCAAAAAGACTTCGAAGGAGACTCAAACGTCTGCTCAGCCCTCTGTCTTCATACGCATTCTTCAGATTGTTCCACGCAGCCTTGGCTCCCGCTGCATTACGTACATGGGGATACGCCGAAGAATGAACAGACAAACATATTTTTGCCAGCGCCTTCATGTCGCGTTTTGCATCAACTTTTGTGGTGTCAGTTGGCTCGATGCACTCCCATAAATCTTCATGCACCAGTATCATCTTCATTGCAAATTTCCAATTATGATAGTCTTGAACTCCACGCAGTTTCTCAATAGGAAAATTCGCCTTGTCGTTGCCGGTAGCCATCGCGAGGTTATGTGCATATGCACAATATTTACCAAAGCGCGAATTGTTGTGCAAATTACAAAATTATCTACTCGCGACAGGGACAGACGCCCTGGGCCCATAACCTGATGGGTTAGGGTCAAAAAGAAAGAAGATTGCAGAGAAAACAGTAGATATTTATTGTAAGTACGACAGAGATGATACCGCATAGGCACACAGCCATTGAGAGAGAGAAAAAATATAAAGTCACAATGACATGCAGTGTCAGATTTGACTTTGACGTTACTGGATAATAGACTACTCAATGTTACGTTTCGTTTTACATTCCAACAGTTTAAGACGTATTGTGAAGCGGCCGTGAGAATGCCAATTTCTTTAAACAATTCTCTAAGGGATGCTCTTGCTTTCATTTTATACAAGTATCTTATCGCACGTTTTTGCAAAATAAATATTGTTTCAAAATCTGCAGCTTTGCCCCATAGCATGATTCCATATGACATTAGGCTATGAAAGTAGCTAAAGTAGACTAAGCGAGCTGTTGAAACATCGGTTAATGACCGTATCCNGATAGTCGTTAAGGAGCTTGCGAGCTAGTGACTAAACTACCAGGCTCCCATAAGTGCTAAGGAGGTGTTTTTTAGCTCCGTAGATGTGTCTAGCGTCGTAGACGCTGGCGTCACAAGTACCAGGCACCCATAGCTGCCTAAGAGATGTTCTTTGTCCCCGTAGCAGTGCCAAGCGTCGTAGACGCTTATAGCGACATTACCAGGCTCCCATAGTTACTGAAGAGATTGCACAGCCACTGCCGTAGCAGTGGCAAGCGTCGTAGACGCTCCTAGCGAACCTACCAGGCTCCTATAGCTACTGAAGAGCTTGTTTCTCCCGCTGTAGCAGTGATACTTGTCGTAGCCGCTCTCAGCCGCCGTAGCAACATGTTCTCTCGCTCTAACACACACTACAGCTCGCTCACGCAGCTGCTAAAGACACTTCTCTGTCGTAGCAGTGGCAAGCGTCGTAGACGCTCTGAGTTAGGCTCTCATAGTTACTGAAGGAGTGTCCTTAAGTTCCGTAGCAGTGGCAAGCGTCGTAGCCGCTCTCAGCCGCCGTAGCAATTTGATATTTCGCTGTAGCTCGCTCTCATAGCTACCGAAGCCCTTCTCTCCCGCCGTAGCCGTAGCACTGGTAAGCGTCGTAGCCTATCTGTTCTCTCGCTCTACGCACCTGGTGTCCCGCTCTGGTGACGGCGGCGGCCAGCGCGGCGTAGTACGGCCAGCCGAGCGCGGCCGCGTGCCCGACGCCCGCCAGGCAGGCCGCGCTGGCCGCCGCGTGCCGGACAGGAGGCTAAGGTACCAGGTTTCCATAGAAGGTAAGGAGTTTGCTCCTCTAGTGACACTACCAGACTCCCATAGATGCTAAGGAGCTGCTCTCTAGTGACTGAACTACCAGGCTCCAATAGTCGCTAAAGGGCTTGCGAGCTAGTGACTAAACCACCAGGCTCCCATAAGTTCTAAGGAGGTGTTTTTTTAGCTCCGTAGATGTGTCTAGCGTCGTAGACGCTGGTGTCACAAGTACCAGGCACCCATAGCTGCCTAAGAGATGTTTTTTGTCCTCGTAGCAGTGTCAAGCGTCGTAGACGACCCTACCTGGCTCCTATAGCTACTTAAGAGATGTTCTTTGTTGCGTAGCACTACCAAACGTCGTAGACGCTCGCATTACAAGTACCAGGCGCCTATAGCTACTGAAGAGCTTGTTTCTCCCGCCGTAGCAGTGTTACTTGTCGTAGCTGCTTGTGGATGCCGTAGAATCATGGTGTGTCGCTCTAGCGCACATTGTAGCTCGCTCTCATAGCTACTAAAGACACATCTCCGTCGTAGCACTGGCAAGCGTCGTAAACGCTCTTAGCGACACTACCAGGCTCTCATAGTTACTGAAGGAGTGTTCTTAAGCTTCGTAGCAGTGTCTAGCGTCGTAGACGCTCGCTTCACAAGTACCAGGCGCCTATAGCTACTGAGGAGCTTGTTTCTTCCGCCGTAGCAGTGACGATCGTCGTAGTCGCTAGTAGACGCTGCAGCATGTTGTCTCGCTCTGGCACACACTACAGCTCGCTTCCACAGTTACTATCGTAGCACTGCCAAGCGTCGTAGCCAATCGTAGACGCCGTAGCACCATGGCGTCTCGCTGTAGCTCGCTCTCATAGTTACTGTCGCCTGTCTCTCCCGCCGTAGCACTGTCACGCGTCGTAGCCTATGTTTTCTCGCTCTAACGCACCTGGTGTCCCGCTCTGGTGACGGCGGCGGCCAGCGCGGCGTAGTACGGCCAGCCGAGCGCGGCCGCGTGCCCGACGCCCGCCAGGCAGGCCGCGCTGGCCGCCGCGTGCCGGACAGGAGGCTAAGGTACCAGGTTTCCATAGAAGGTAAGGAGTTTGCTCCTCTAGTGACACTACCAGACTCCCATAGATGCTAAGGAGCTGCTCTCTAGTGACTGAACTACCAGGCTCCAATAGTCGCTAAAGGGCTTGCGAGCTAGTGACTAAACCACCAGGCTCCCATAAGTTCTAAGGAGGTGTTTTTTTAGCTCCGTAGATGTGTCTAGCGTCGTAGACGCTGGTGTCACAAGTACCAGGCACCCATAGCTGCCTAAGAGATGTTTTTTGTCCTCGTAGCAGTGTCAAGCGTCGTAGACGACCCTACCTGGCTCCTATAGCTACTTAAGAGATGTTCTTTGTTGCGTAGCACTACCAAACGTCGTAGACGCTCGCATTACAAGTACCAGGCGCCTATAGCTACTGAAGAGCTTGTTTCTCCCGCCGTAGCAGTGTTACTTGTCGTAGCTGCTTGTGGATGCCGTAGAATCATGGTGTGTCGCTCTAGCGCACATTGTAGCTCGCTCTCATAGCTACTAAAGACACATCTCCGTCGTAGCACTGGCAAGCGTCGTAAACGCTCTTAGCGACACTACCAGGCTCTCATAGTTACTGAAGGAGTGTTCTTAAGCTTCGTAGCAGTGTCTAGCGTCGTAGACGCTCGCTTCACAAGTACCAGGCGCCTATAGCTACTGAGGAGCTTGTTTCTTCCGCCGTAGCAGTGACGATCGTCGTAGTCGCTAGTAGACGCTGCAGCATGTTGTCTCGCTCTGGCACACACTACAGCTCGCTTCCACAGTTACTATCGTAGCACTGCCAAGCGTCGTAGCCAATCGTAGACGCCGTAGCACCATGGCGTCTCGCTGTAGCTCGCTCTCATAGTTACTGTCGCCTGTCTCTCCCGCCGTAGCACTGTCACGCGTCGTAGCCTATGTTTTCTCGCTCTAACGCACCTGGTGCCCCGCTCTGGTGACGGCGGCGGCCAGCGCGGCGTAGTACGGCCAGCCGAGCGCGGCCGCGTGCCCGACGCCCGCCAGGCAGGCCGCGCTGGCCGCCGCGTGCCGGACAGGACACTAAGGTGACTAAGGTACCAGGCTCCCATAAAAGGTAAGGAGCTTGCTCCTTTAATGACACTACCAGGCTACCATAGATGCTAAGGAGCTTACGAGCTAGTGACTAAGGTACCAGGCTCCCATAAGTGCTAAGGAGGTGATATTTAGCTCCGTATCAGTGTCTAGCGTCATAGACGCTGGTGTCACAAGTACCAGGCACCCATAGCTGCCTAAGAGATGTACTTTGTCCCCGTAGCAGTGTCAAGCGTCGTAGACGCTCTTAAGCGTCGTAGACGACCCTACCAGGCTCTTATAGCTACTTGAGAGATGTTCTTTGTTGCGTAGCACTACCAAGCGTCGTAGACGCTCGCATTACAAGTACCAGGCGCCTATAGCTACTGAAGAGCTTGTTTCTCCCGCCGTAGCAGTGGTACTTGTCGTAGCCGCTCTCAGCCGCCGTAGCAACATGTTCTCTCGCTCTGGCACACACTACAGCTCGCTTTCACAGTTACTATCGTAGCACTGGCAAGCGTCGTAGCCGCTATCAGCCGCCGTAGCAACACGTCTCTCGCTCTAACGCACCTGGTGTCCCGCTCTGGTGACGGCGGCGGCCAGCGCGGCGTAGTACGGCCAGCCGAGCGCGGCCGCGTGCCCGACGCCCGCCAGGCAGGCCGCGCTGGCCGCCGCGTGCCGGACAGGAGACTAGGGTACCAGGCTCCCATAGAAGGTAAGGAGCTTGCTCCTCTAGTGACACTAACAGGCTCCCATAGATGCTAAGGAGCTGCTCTCTAGGACTGAACTACCAGGCTTTAATATCTAATAGTCGTTAAGGAGCTTGCGAGCTAGTGACTGAACTACCAGGCTCTCATGGGTGCTAAGGAGGTTTTTTTTAGCTCCGTAGAAGTGTCTAGCGTCGTAGACGCTGGTGTCACAAGTACCAGGCTCCTACAGCTACCTAAGAGATGTTCTTTGTTTCCGTAGCAGTATCTAGCGTCGTAGACGCTCGTGTCACAAGTACCAGGCGTCTATAGCTACTGGAGAGATTGTTTCTCCCGCTGTAGCAGTGATACTTGTCGTAGCCGCTCTCAGCCGCCGTAGCAACATGTTCTCTCGCTCTAACACACACTATAGCTCGCTCAGGCAGCTGCTAAAGACACTTCTCTGTCGTAGCAGTGTCTAGCGTCGTAGACGCTCTGAGCCAGGCTCTCATAGTTACTGAAGGAGTGTTCTTAAGCTCCGTAGCAGTGGCATGCGTCGTAGCCGCCTGTAGACGCCGTAGCAACATGTTCTCTCGCTCTAACACACACTACAGCTCGCTCACGCAGCTACTAAAGACACTTCTCTGTCGTAGCAGTGGCAAGCGTCGTAGACGCTCTGAGTTAGGCTCTCATAGTTACTGAAGGAGTGTCCTTAAGTTCCGTAGCAGTGGCAAGCGTCGTAGCCGCTCTCAGCCGCCGTAGCAATTTGATATTTCGCTGTAGCTCGCTCTCATAGCTACCGAAGCCCTTCTCTCCCGCCGTAGCCGTAGCACTGGTAAGCGTCGTAGCCTATCTGTTCTCTCGCTCTACGCACCTGGTGTCCCGCTCTGGTGACGGCGGCGGCCAGCGCGGCGTAGTACGGCCAGCCGAGCGCGGCCGCGTGCCCGACGCCCGCCAGGCAGGCCGCGCTGGCCGCCGCGTGCCGGACAGGAGGCTAAGGTACCAGGCTTCCATAGAAGGTAAGGAGTTTGCTCCTCTAGTGACACTACCAGACTCCCATAGATGCTAAGGAGCTGCTCTCTAGTGACTGAACTACCAGGCTCCAATAGTCGCTAAAGGGCTTGCGAGCTAGTGACTAAACCACCAGGCTCCCATAAGTTCTAAGGAGGTGTTTTTTTAGCTCCGTAGATGTGTCTAGCGTCGTAGACGCTGGTGTCACAAGTACCAGGCACCCATAGCTACCTAAGAGATGTTCTTTGTCCCCGTAGCAGTGGCAAGCGTCGTAGACGCTTATAGCGACATTACCCGGCTCCCATAGTTACTAAAGAGATTACACAGCCACTGTCGTAGCAGTGGCAAGCGTCGTAGCCACTCGTAGACGCCGTAGCACCATGGCGTCTCGCTGTAGCTCGCTCTCATAGCTACTGACGCTTTTCTCTCGTGTCGTAGCACTGCCACGCGTCGTAGCACTACTTCTCTCGCTCTAACGCACCTGGTGTCCCGCTCTGGTGACGGCGGCGGCCAGCGCGGCGTAGTACGGCCAGCCGAGCGCGGCCGCGTGCCCGACGCCCGCCAGGCAGGCCGCGCTGGCCGCCGCGTGCCGGACAGGAGACTAAGGTACCAGGCTCCCATACAAGGTAAGGAGCTTGCTCCTCTAGTGACACTACCAGGCTCTAATAGTCACTAAGGAGCTTGCGAGCTAGTGACTGAACTACCAGGCTCCAATAGTCGCTGAGGAGCTTGCGAGCTAGTGACTAAACTACCAGGCTCCCATAGGTGCTAAGGAGGTGTTCTTTAGCTCCGTAGAAGTGTCTAGCGTCGTAGACGCTCGCTTCACAAGTACCAGGCGCCTATAGCTACTGAGGAGCTTGTTTCTTCCGCCGTAGCAGTGACGCTCGTCGTAGCCACTTGTAGACGCCGTAGCAACATGTTCTCTCGCTCTGGCACACACTACAGCTCGCTTCCACAGTTACTATCGTAGCACTGGCAAGAGTCGTAGCCGCTCTCAGCCGCCGTAGCAACACGTCTCTCGCTCTAACGCACCTGGTGTCCCGCTCTGGTGACGGCGGCGGCCAGCGCGGCGTAGTACGGCCAGCCGAGCGCGGCCGCGTGCCCGACGCCCGCCAGGCAGGCCGCGCTGGCCGCCGCGTGCCGGACAGGAGACTAGGGTACCAGGCTCCCATAGAAGGTAAGGAGTTTGCTCCTCTAGTGACACTACCAGGCTCCCATAGATGCTAAGGAGCTGCTCTCTAGGACTGAACTACCAGGCTTTAATATCTAATAGTCGTTAAGGAGCTTGCGAGCTAGTGACTGAACTACCAGGCTCCCATAAGTGCTAAGGAGGTGTTTTTTTAGCTCCGTAGATGTGTCTAGCGTCGTAGACGCTGGTGTCACAAGTACCAGGCACCCATAGCTGCCTAAGAGATGTTCTTTGTCCCCGTAGCAGTGTCAAGCGTCGTAGACGACCCTACCAGGCTCCTATAGCTACTTAAGAGATGTTCTTTGTTGCGTAGCACTACCAAGCGTCGTAGACGCTCGCATTACAAGTACCAGGCGCCTATAGCTACTGAAGAGCTTGTTTCTCCCGCCGTAGCAGTGGTACTTGTCGTAGCCGCTCTCAGCCGCCGTAGCAACATGTTCTCTCGCTCTGGCACACACTACAGCTCGCTCACGCAGCTACTAAAGACACTTCTCTGTCGTAGCTGTGTCTAGCGTCGTAGACGCTCTGAGCCAGGCTCTCATACTTACTGAAGGAGTGTTCTTAAGCTCCGTAGCAGTGGCATGCGTCGTAGCCGCTTGTAGACGCCGTAGCAATTTGATATCTCGCTGTAGCTCGCTCTCATAGCTACTGACGCTTTTCTCTCCTGCCGTAGCACTGCCTCGTGTCGTAGCACTGCCTCGTGTCGTAGCACTACTTCTCTCGCTCTACGCACCTGGTGTCCCGCTCTGGTGACGGCGGCGGCCAGCGCGGCGTAGTACGGCCAGCCGAGCGCGGCCGCGTGCCCGACGCCCGCCAGGCAGGCCGCGCTGGCCGCCGCGTGCCGGACAGGAGACTAAGGTACCAGGCTTCCATAGAAGGTAAGGAGCTTGCTCCTCTAGTTACACTACCAGGCTCCCATAGATGCTAAGGAGCTGCTCTCTAGTGACTGAACTACCAGGCTCCAATAGTCGCTGAGGAGCTTGCGAGCTAGTGACTAAGCTACCAGGCTCCCATAGGTGCAAAGGCGGTGATTATTAGTTACGTAGAAGTGTCTAGCGTCGTAGACGCTCGTAGTGACGCTACCAGGCTCTCATAGCTACTAAAGAGATCATCAACCTACTGTAGCACTAGCAAGCATCGTAGATGCTCGTAGCGATACTACTAGGCTCCTATAGATACCTAACAGGTGTTGTTTAGCTCCATAGCAGTGTCTATCGTCGTAGACGCTCGTATCACAAGTATCAGGCGCCTATAGCTACTGAAGAAGTGTTCTCTCCATCTAGACACTTCTCGTAGCAGTGACGCTTGTCGTAGCCGCTCTCAGCCGCCGTAGCAACACTTCTCTCGCTCTAACACACACTACAGCTCGCTCAGGCAGCTGCTAAAGACACTTCTCCGTCGTAGCACTGGCAAGCGTCGTAGACGCTCCTAGCGACCCTACCAGGCTCCCATAGCTACTAAAGAGCTTGTTTCTCCCGCTGTAGCAGTGATACTTGTCGTAGCTGCTTGTGGATGCCGTAGCATCATGGTGTGTCACTCTAGCGCACATTGTAGCTCGCTCTCACAGCTGCTAAAGACACTTCTCCGTCGTAGCACTGCCACGCGTCGTAGCCTATCTGTTCTCTCGCTCTACGCACCTGGTGTCCCGCTCTGGTGACGGCGGCGGCCAGCGCGGCGTAGTACGGCCAGCCGAGCGCGGCCGCGTGCCCGACGCCCGCCAGGCAGGCCGCGCTGGCCGCCGCGTGCCGGACAGGAGGCTAAGGTACCAGGTTTCCATAGAAGGTAAGGAGTTTGCTCCTCTAGTGACACTACCAGACTCCCATAGATGCTAAGGAGCTGCTCTCTAGTGACTGAACTACCAGGCTCCAATAGTCGCTAAAGGGCTTGCGAGCTAGTGACTAAACCACCAGGCTCCCATAAGTTCTAAGGAGGTGTTTTTTTAGCTCCGTAGATGTGTCTAGCGTCGTAGACGCTGGTGTCACAAGTACCAGGCACCCATAGCTGCCTAAGAGATGTTTTTTGTCCTCGTAGCAGTGTCAAGCGTCGTAGACGACCCTACCTGGCTCCTATAGCTACTTAAGAGATGTTCTTTGTTGCGTAGCACTACCAAACGTCGTAGACGCTCGCATTACAAGTACCAGGCGCCTATAGCTACTGAAGAGCTTGTTTCTCCCGCCGTAGCAGTGTTACTTGTCGTAGCTGCTTGTGGATGCCGTAGAATCATGGTGTGTCGCTCTAGCGCACATTGTAGCTCGCTCTCATAGCTACTAAAGACACATCTCCGTCGTAGCACTGGCAAGCGTCGTAAACGCTCTTAGCGACACTACCAGGCTCTCATAGTTACTGAAGGAGTGTTCTTAAGCTTCGTAGCAGTGTCTAGCGTCGTAGACGCTCGCTTCACAAGTACCAGGCGCCTATAGCTACTGAGGAGCTTGTTTCTTCCGCCGTAGCAGTGACGATCGTCGTAGTCGCTAGTAGACGCTGCAGCATGTTGTCTCGCTCTGGCACACACTACAGCTCGCTTCCACAGTTACTATCGTAGCACTGCCAAGCGTCGTAGCCAATCGTAGACGCCGTAGCACCATGGCGTCTCGCTGTAGCTCGCTCTCATAGTTACTGTCGCCTGTCTCTCCCGCCGTAGCACTGTCACGCGTCGTAGCCTATGTTTTCTCGCTCTAACGCACCTGGTGCCCCGCTCTGGTGACGGCGGCGGCCAGCGCGGCGTAGTACGGCCAGCCGAGCGCGGCCGCGTGCCCGACGCCCGCCAGGCAGGCCGCGCTGGCCGCCGCGTGCCGGACAGGACACTAAGGTGACTAAGGTACCAGGCTCCCATAAAAGGTAAGGAGCTTGCTCCTTTAATGACACTACCAGGCTACCATAGATGCTAAGGAGCTTACGAGCTAGTGACTAAGGTACCAGGCTCCCATAAGTGCTAAGGAGGTGATATTTAGCTCCGTATCAGTGTCTAGCGTCATAGACGCTGGTGTCACAAGTACCAGGCACCCATAGCTGCCTAAGAGATGTACTTTGTCCCCGTAGCAGTGTCAAGCGTCGTAGACGCTCTTAAGCGTCGTAGACGACCCTACCAGGCTCTTATAGCTACTTGAGAGATGTTCTTTGTTGCGTAGCACTACCAAGCGTCGTAGACGCTCGCATTACAAGTACCAGGCGCCTATAGCTACTGAAGAGCTTGTTTCTCCCGCCGTAGCAGTGGTACTTGTCGTAGCCGCTCTCAGCCGCCGTAGCAACATGTTCTCTCGCTCTGGCACACACTACAGCTCGCTTTCACAGTTACTATCGTAGCACTGGCAAGCGTCGTAGCCGCTATCAGCCGCCGTAGCAACACGTCTCTCGCTCTAACGCACCTGGTGTCCCGCTCTGGTGACGGCGGCGGCCAGCGCGGCGTAGTACGGCCAGCCGAGCGCGGCCGCGTGCCCGACGCCCGCCAGGCAGGCCGCGCTGGCCGCCGCGTGCCGGACAGGAGACTAGGGTACCAGGCTCCCATAGAAGGTAAGGAGCTTGCTCCTCTAGTGACACTAACAGGCTCCCATAGATGCTAAGGAGCTGCTCTCTAGGACTGAACTACCAGGCTTTAATATCTAATAGTCGTTAAGGAGCTTGCGAGCTAGTGACTGAACTACCAGGCTCTCATGGGTGCTAAGGAGGTTTTTTTTAGCTCCGTAGAAGTGTCTAGCGTCGTAGACGCTGGTGTCACAAGTACCAGGCTCCTACAGCTACCTAAGAGATGTTCTTTGTTTCCGTAGCAGTATCTAGCGTCGTAGACGCTCGTGTCACAAGTACCAGGCGTCTATAGCTACTGGAGAGATTGTTTCTCCCGCTGTAGCAGTGATACTTGTCGTAGCCGCTCTCAGCCGCCGTAGCAACATGTTCTCTCGCTCTAACACACACTATAGCTCGCTCAGGCAGCTGCTAAAGACACTTCTCTGTCGTAGCACTGGCAAGCGTCGTAGACGCTCTTAGCGACACTACCAGGCTCTCATAGTTACTGAAGGAGTGTTCTTTAGCTCCGTAGCAGTGGCAAGCGTCGTAGCCGCTCTCAGCCACCGTAGCAATTTGATATCTCGCTGTAGCTCGCTCTCATAGCTACTGACGCTTTTCTCTCCTGCCGTAGCCTATCTGTTCTCTCGCTCTACACACCTGGTGTCCCGCTCTGGTCACGGCGGCGGCCAGCGCGGCGTAGTACGGCCAGCCGAGCTTGTAGCGTGTACCTGTCGTAGCAGTGACGCTCGTCGTAGCCGCTTGTAGACGCCGTAGCAAATTGATGTCTCGCTCTTATAACTACTGACGCCTGTCTCTCCCGCCGTAGCACTGCCACGCATCGTAGCCTGTCTGTTCTCTCGCTCTAACGTACCTGGTGTCCCGCTCTGGTGACGGCGGCGGCCAGCGCGGCGTAGTACGGCCAGCCGAGCGCGGCCGCGTGCCCGACGCCCGCCAGGCAGGCCGCGCTGGCCGCCGCGTGCCGGACAGGAGACTAAGGTACCAGGCTTCCATAGAGGGTAAGGAGCTTGCTCCTTTAGTGACACTACCAGGCTCCCATAGAAGGTAAGGAGGTGTTTATTAGATCCGTAAAAGTGTCTAGCGTCATAGACGCTGGTGTCACAAGTACCAGGCGCCTATAGCTGCTGAAGAAGTGTTTTCTCCACCTAGACACTTCTCGTAGCAGTGACGCTTGTCGTAGCCGCTCTCAGCCGCCGTAGCAATACTTCTCTCGCTTCAGCGCACACTACAGCTCGCATTCACAGCCACTGTCGTAGCAGTGGCAAGCGTCGTAGCCACTTGTAGATGCCGTAACACTATGATGTCTCGCTCTCATAGCTACTGACGCGTGTCGTAGCACTACTTCTCTCGCTCTAACGCACCTGGTGTCCCGCTCTGGTGACGGCGGCGGCCAGCGCGGCGTAGTACGGCCAGCCGAGCGCGGCCGCGTGCCCGACGCCCGCCAGGCAGGCCGCGCTGGCCGCCGCGTGCCGGACAGGAGGCTAAGGTACCAGGCTCCCATAGAATGTAAGGAGCTTGCTTCTCTAGTGACACTACCAGGCTCCCATAGATGCTAAGGAGCTGCTCTCTAGGACTGAACTACCAGGCTCTAATAGTCGCTAAGGAGCTTGCGAGCTAGGTGACTAAACTACCAGGCTCTTATGGGTGCTAAGGAGGTGTTTTTTTAGCTCCGTAGATGTGTCTAGCGTCGTAGACGCTGGTGTCACAAGTACCAGGCACCCATAGCTGCCTAAGAGATGTTCTTTGTCCCCGTAGCAGTGCCAAGCGTCGTAGACGCTCTTAAGCGTCGTAGACGACCCTACCAGGCTCCTATAGCTACTTAAGAGATGTTCTTTGTTGCGTAGCACTACCAAGCGTCGTAGACGCTCGCATTACAAGTACCAGGCGCCTATAGCTACTGAAGAGCTTGTTTCTCCCGCTGTAGCAGTGATACTTGTCGTAGCTGCTTGTGGATGCCGTAGCACCATTATGTCTCGCTCTATCGCACATTGTAGCTCGCTCTCATAGCTCCTAAAGACACATCTCTGTCGTAGCACTGGCAAGCGTCGTAGACGCTCTGAGCCAGGCTCTCATACTTACTGAAGGAGTGTTCTTAAGCTCCGTAGCAGTGGCAAGCGTCGTAGCCGCTTGTAGACGCCGTAGCACTATGGTGTCTTGCTGTAGCTCACTCTCATAGTTACTGTCGCCTGTCTCTCCCGCCGTAGCACTGTCACGCGTCGTAGCCTATGTTTTCTCGCTCTAACGCACCTGGTGTCCCGCTCTGGTGACGGCGGCGGCCAGCGCGGCGTAGTACGGCCAGCCGAGCGCGGCCGCGTGCCCGACGCCCGCCAGGCAGGCCGCGCTGGCCGCCGCGTGCCGGACAGGAGTGTAATGATTTTAGAATGTAAATTGTATTTTATAGGTACGATTGGATGCTTATAAATAGTTATTGTAACAACTTTAGTAGAATTTAGAAACCCACTATTAAATTAAAATACTTTGTTTGATTACTTCCTGGACATGTTACAGATATTAGAACGATTTTTTTAATTAATTCTGTATTGTATTCGATTATCTCAATTATTGTTTAATTTACATTAATTTTAGAATTTTTATTGTATACAGTTTGCTATTTTAGAAATAAAAATAAACTAAATTAATAATTAGGTAATGCAATTGACTACTTCCGGGGCATGCCGTCGATAAGTCGTTTGACTTTGACGAATGGAAGGGGAAGCTACCTTTTTGCTGGCATGCCACCGGACAGGCAGTTCGATTTGAGCTTTCAAACAAGATGTACTTATTAGTAAGAAGTAATGTTGAAATTATTATTGTGTAAATCAGTGGTGTAGAAATACATACTTGAACAAATCTCCCATTGGTTAACTTTTACACTTAGTAAATTTAAAGCTTAGTTACAACAGGATATTGCAAAATTCTCACGGGAACGGGAGTTAGCGGGAAAAAACATTTGTATGAAAAAATCTAAACCGCGTAAGTTAGACGCTTGAAATTTGGCATGCAGGTCCCTTAGTAAACTTAGAGCTTAGTTACAACAGGATATTGCGAAATTCCAACGGGAACGGGAGTTAGCGGGAAAAAATATTTGTATGAAAAAATCTAAACTGCGTAAGATAGATGAAGGGGGTAAAACGGGATCCACGCGTACGAAGTCGCGGGCGGCCGCTAGTTTCTAATTAAATCTATTCTTACACCCTTAAAATGTATGAAACTTGTATCTGTTTTCTACTTCTACTATAGATAATTTTATTGGCTATCGCATGATATAAAATTTTTGCTTATTAATGTTAAACTACCCACGCTATCACTTGTTTTTGAAGGAAGAGGTGAAAACTTAAAATTAAAAACTTAAATCCTTGTAAATATGCGAGAAATGGGTCAAGCCCCAAATTTAAAGTATTTTCACCGATAAAATTGTCCATAGATTACGCCCTTAAAGTTTGATCACTACATGCCCGGACACACTGTATATGATTAGTGCGCTTAAGGATCGTTTCCGCTAGTTCTTGGCCAATGTTAGTAAAGAAAAAATTAACACTATCAATAGAAACTTGAGGTGATACAGCTATATCTAGTAGTTCAATATTTGTTGATTTAGGAGGTTTAAATTGAGTGATATCATTTATAGTGGACCATAGTTTTTTAGGATGGTTGATATTTATATTTATTTGGTTTTTATTATATTCTCGTTTTAGTTTTTTAATTAGGTTGCTACAGTAATTCCGAAAACGTTTATAGGTAATTTTTAATATGTCATTGTGTGGATTTGTTTTCAATTTCATCTGCATGTTATTTCTTAGTTTTATACACCGAATAGCCCCATGTGTAATCCAGGGTTTCAGGATCCTGGTTTTATTTCGTATAGGTATAGTTTTAGAGTTTGTTGATATGGCCGATCTAGTTATACCAATAAGCGCATCTGCAAATAAATCCGGGCTACCATAAATGCTGAGCATTGAAACATCCGCAGTCAGCAGGTTTTTATATGCCTTCTCATAATTAATTATTGTTTTATACCTACGAGTTTTATATTGTTTATGTACATGCTCAACGTTTACGGCAACCATGCAATGATCAGTCACTGTTGTATTTAAGACAGCGACAAAGACTGTGTTGTAGGTACTGTCTAGTTTTATCATGACGTGGTCGAGGCAGCTGTCCCCTCTCGTAGGTAAAATATGACCTGGCAACAGACCGTGAAATGAAAGCATATTTAGGTAACTCAATCTATTAACACGTTCGTGAGCCTTTTCAGTCGGTGTAGGAATCAGATCAATATTTATGTCGCCCAATATCACAATGTTTTTACGGTTTACAGAGCAATCCAGGAGAGCGTTAAGAGAGGTAATGAAGTTCTCCGCATGAAGATGCGACGGGGAACGGTAAATACCTAACAGTGTATACTTGGAAACAATCATTTCAAGACCCGTTGCATCGGAGAGGTTAAGTTCGGTTATCTTTGCATGATGGCTATTTTTAATGTATACCACAACTCCGTCATTCTGGTTTAACAATTTAGTCGTATGAAATGAAGTGTAGTTCGGTAGGTATGGGACAGGTTTTATCAAGTTCAGCCTACATTCGGTAAGAATCAAAATGTCTACTTCATAGGCCAGTTGTGATAATGTTATTTGCAAGTCGTCAAAATTTTTGTAAATGCTCCTTAGATTCTGGGTAATAATCGTCAAAAAGTTATCTTTAGAGTGGTTATAGAAGTTCGGTAGGGATTCTATATTACATTCGATTGAGTTCGCAACCTGTATTTGGTCTAATTCTTGTAAAACATTGTGGCTATCCATCATTGAGTAATATTATAGGTATTGATTGGTTAACAGGAGGTAACTATGTAGGTAGGTACGTGATTTTGTAGGTTTGAGACTTAGCTAGAATAGTGTAACTATTGTATGAGAGAATGTAAGCATTTACACAAGATGTTAAGCCCTGTAGGCTTTGAGCTGTATGATTTATAGGCCAGCGTTTTACATTTAATTTTAAGCACAGTAGTTTTATGTTATAGGTAAATATAAACTTTTTTAAACAATTTGATAAGACAGTTAATTTAAATCGTAGTAAATATATGTTAGCTTCGATAAGGTTAAGTTTTATGATCCACATAGTTGTACATAAGTGGTTTAAACGTTGGTAGGTGAGTAAGAAGTGTAGGCATGTTAGAATGTATTTTATGTATCGTAAATATTTTTTATGATAAGGTAAGAACATGGTTGAGGTTGTGTAGTGTATGTGGTGAGTTTGTGTGTATGTATTAATAAGTGTAGTTATTTTAAGTTTGTAGATGGATGTGATGTATTTGTAATTGAAACTCGTTTTCTTCGATACTCAGCGTTTATAACATGAAATAACGTATACAAATATTTGATGTTCGCGGTTAGAGGAATGGTAGTCAAGTGGGGTAGGCGCCGGGCGCGATCGCAACCGTTATCTGTCAGTTTCGTGCGTAGTGATGTGCGCGCTCGCTAGTGATGTCGTAATCGATTTCTGAACATGCCCCCCGCCTTGGAGCAGCTGCCTCCAACGGTTATTCTTCTGGCATTAATGGGCATAATCTCTGGTAGCTTCTTCTTATGATTCCGCTTTCAGTTTTCACGTCTGCTACTCGAGCTAGTCCATCTTCTCCCGGGAAGGTTTGTGTTATTTGTGCCGGTATGCACAATACTAAATCTCTTCATATCTTATCTTGATCACGTTCACAGTGTCAGCACATTTATCACGTATAGTGCTGATGCTGTGACGTCATTTATCTATAATCTATATCGTATAAATATACGTGTAGTCCGCGTTAATAAACAGATTAATATCAGAGACTAACTACAACCCGTGTCTCATTCATACGGTCTCCCAACATGACACAAATTGGTGACCCCGACGACGAACCGGACGAAGAAGATGAACCTGACGACGAAGCCAACGAAGTCGGCAACAAATTAACCGAAGCCGACGTAGCCGACGAAGCCGACAAACAACGACGAAGTTAAACAAGTACCAAGCCAACGTGATGTGAGACGTAACCTCCATCACCACTATCTTCAGCATCAGCCTCCGCCAGCTTTCATCTGACATGGATTCAAATTGGCTACCCCGATTGAGCAGAGCAAATCCGTGACGTCACTTCAACATCAATTATCGTCATCATGTCAACTCCGTGCAAATCGTGCAACACAACACCACAAGAAGTCGCTGCCAGTACCGCTGCCACATCCATATTCCCGATTTCTGAAAGGACCAACCTCGTCTGTGCAGCTGGAATCAGTCTTGGAACTTCAAAAGAATCAAATCGCTAATAAAATATTAGAGAATGCAAAAATAATGAAGTCTCAGCAGTTCAACAGTCAACTACAACATCAGCAAAATTCAAGACCAAACAATGAAAAATGTGCTAACACAGCTATAACATGTGCAATTTAAATAATGATTGTATCCCATGACCGTGAAAATTTGCGACGCAGCAGTTACAGGCCAAGGTCGCCTAGTCAAGCAAGAAAATTTTGTTATTAGCATACAAATCAACGTGTGCAGAAAAATGTGAAAAATCATGTGATTGGAAACAAACGAAACAAGGAAACTAATAATCGCACAGCCAGCACGGCTTCTGTGCTATCTACCCGTCTAACCGCCTTATTGTTACCGACTGAAAAAGTGGTATGAGGTTTTTAATCGTTACGGGAGCAACATATTATGTGACTAGCGGCCGCCCNGTCTAGCGCCGTAGACGCTCTGAGCCAGGCTCTCATACTTACTGAAGGAGTGTTCTTAAGCTCCGTAGCAGTGGCAAGCGTCGTAGCCGCTTGTAGACGCCGTAGCACTATGGTGTCTTGCTGTAGCTCACTCTCATAGTTACTGTCGCCTGTCTCTCCCGCCGTAGCACTGTCACGCGTCGTAGCCTATGTTTTCTCGCTCTAACGCACCTGGTGTCCCGCTCTGGTGACGGCGGCGGCCAGCGCGGCGTAGTACGGCCAGCCGAGCGCGGCCGCGTGCCCGACGCCCGCCAGGCAGGCCGCGCTGGCCGCCGCGTGCCGGACAGGAGGCTAAGGTACCAGGCTTCCATAGAGGGTAAGGAGCTTGCTCCTCTAGTGACACTACCAGGCTCCCATAGATGCTAAGGAGCTGCTCTCTTGTGACTGAACTACCAGGCTCCAATAGTCGCTAAAGGGCTTGCGAGCTAGTGACTAAACTACCAGGCTCCCATAAGTGCTAAGGAGGTGTTTTTTTAGCTCCGTAGATGTGTCTAGCGTCGTAGACGCTGGTGTCACAAGTACCAGGCTCCTACAGCTACCTAAGAGATGTTCTTTGTTTCCGTAGCAGTATCTAGCGTCGTAGACGCTCGTGTCGCAAGTACCAGGCGTCTATAGCTACTAGAGAGCTTGTTTCTCCCGCTGTAGCAGTGATACTTGTCGTAGCTGCTTGTGGATGCCGTAGCACCATTATGTCTCGCTCTATCGCACATTGTAGCTCGCTCTCATAGCTACTAAAGACACATCTCCGTCGTAGCAGTGTCTAGCGTCGTAGACGCTCTGAGCCAGGCTCTCATACTTACTGAAGGAGTGTTCTTAAGCTACGTAGCAGTGGCAAGCGTCGTAGCCGCTCTCAGCCGCCGTAGCAATACTTCTCTCGCTTCAGCGCACACTACAGCTCGCATTCACAGCCACTGTCGTAGCAGTGGCAAGCGTCGTAGCCACTTGTAGATGCCGTAACACTATGATGTCTCGCTCTCATAGCTACTGACGCGTGTCGTAGCACTACTTCTCTCGCTCTAACGCACCTGGTGTCCCGCTCTGGTGACGGCGGCGGCCAGCGCGGCGTAGTACGGCCAGCCGAGCGCGGCCGCGTGCCCGACGCCCGCCAGGCAGGCCGCGCTGGCCGCCAGCGTGCCCGACAGCAGCGGCTTGGTGTGAGCGCCGAAGGTTAAAGCTGTTGACTTCATCCCGATGCGGGCGTCGTCTTCTTTGTCCTGGGGAAAATTTTATCGAAATTAGACTAGTATAGAAAAATTGAGGCCTTGTTTCTACGAAAGCGAAGCGTAATGGCAGAGTCATCTTCATAGAAACGCCCGAGCGCGGTTTGTATGTGAGCTCGCGCCAATACGTATGCGGCGAGCACGCACACACTGACAAAATTCAGCGCACCTCACCGCTAATCCACGCTAAATTTTGTCAGTGTGTGCGTGCGCTTGCGCGCCGCATACGTATTGGTGCGCTCACATACAAACCGCGCTCGGGCGTTTCTATAAAGATGACCTACTCATTTGTATTTACTCTGGTAATGGAGATAGATTTATCCTGTAGAATTTAACAGAGGCGCGGCGTGGCCGAGACGAGAAGTGTGAAATATGATTCAAAACACTTTTTCGCTCCGTTGCCTTGGTAGAAACCGGGCCTGATACAAAAGTTTAAGTCCCTACTTTTTATCACCCGATAATTTGGTCAGCTTCTAATATGTGTGAGGAATCGACCGAAAACAAATTGGTGTAATGTGCGACCTTTGCGGCCTGACCAAACTATCGGGTCTTTAGCCTGGAAATCTTAGACGATCCGTCAACCACTGGACTATGGTAGTGAACCCACTCGTAACACAAACGGGACTATTAGTAATTTATATTTTAAGGCTTTTTTTTGCATTTCATCTTAAGTAATATTTTATAGACGACTATACCTAAAGCAATCGATTTCATAAAGTTAAAAATAAACAAATCTAACCTGGTGAGCATAAATAGTGTCATACACCACCGTCCACGCGAGCGCTCCGAGGTACAACTGAACTACATATTTTTTCAACAAAGTCCCACTCTTCCTATACCTAGGCTGTAGTTAGTGAAATTATCGCCGGCAACCGTAAGGTCGTGGTTTCAACTCTCACCTGAGGCAATTTATTTCTTTGACTTGGACAAACTGTAGTCTCTATACTCAATCGTTTATTGCATAACCACATTAGCATTCACATTAGGTCTTACAATTTAGGCAGTTATACAATGTGGACCCAGTTAGGGCACAGCAACTTTAGGAAGGAGACAGAACGACGCGACGATCTTAATAGTTTCAAAAGAAATTAATGTACACATTGAGTTTGGTGGAAATGTCATTATTAAACTGTGTATACTAATTATCATGCTGTGTATACTAATTTTGGCTTACGGTCCAGTATGTAATTAACACTTTTTCTTTACGATGAAGCCTAGACTGTAAACTGTTTGTATACCTATTACAAATAAATAAATAAAAACGTTCTCTAGTATAGTAATAAAAATATTTGAACTAAAAAAAGCAAAACTCACCTGGTGAGCATAAATAGTGTCATACACCACAGTCCACGCGAGCGCGCCGAGGTACAACGGACCGCATACCGCCGGATCTATCGTACCCTGTACCGCGCTGTACCCAAGTAAGGCGCCCCAGTTGAACGTGGCGCCGAGGAATATTTGAGGGTAGTTTGTATACCGCTTCGCTAGGGGGTAGGTTATTACGAACACTGTAAAAAAAGAAAGGCTTATGTAATATATGGTCTGAGTCCATGTTTTATACTTACAGTCTTATTCATAAAAATCCTCTAAAATAGGTTTAAAACACTCATTAGTTAAAATGCTCATTAGTGCTAATAAACCTTTTATAAAATTCTCTATTCATAAACGTTCAATATACCCATTTTAACTATCTTCTCGCTAAAAGACATTTTAGCGTTGTTATGTTGTCGTTCTGATGAATCCATAGATAAAAATGCCAAAACCAATGGCCCACGGCCCAAAAAAAAAGTTTAACGTCACTTACGACATAATGACAATGACATTTGTTTGTTGTTTGTTATTATTGCTTGTGTTGTGTTTCGTGCAGCAGAGGTGCTTCGTGGTATTTTTGCAAAGAAAATTGTATTGCTTAATAGAAATAAACATGGAAAACGAAAAAAATAAAAAGAACCTGTCGCCACCTTGCAACAATGTCTTTTTAAATAGCCACACGAAAAACATGGACCTATAAAAAAAAGAGGACGACAACTGTAACAAACCTCAAGTCAAAACGGTTCGGACTCATCTGTGGTTCGGACCGGACGCAAAAAAAATCAGCTGTTGCACATTTGTCGGCATATTTCTCTTTATTAGAGGTTTAAAGTAGGGTCGACCCTGTTATAAGTTATGAAGCGGGTATTGAATACTTACAAAGCTTTTTAGCGGTATATGACGTTTATGAATAATACTTTTCGGGATTTTTACTATAACAAGCTAATAAACCTATTTTAAATTTTTATGAATAAGACCGTTAATCTTTAAGTTTAATTGTTTGTTGTTCCAAAAATAAACTCAGTTACTCAGTGATCATGGCGCTTGCAACAGTGCCGAAATATCGGAAACTCGATATTAAGGTACAACATGGTAGCAATTTTGTCAATAATAATTATTAAACTAAAAAAAACCGGCCAAGTGCGTGTCGGACTCACGCACAAAGGGTTCCGTACCATTGATTTATGAATTTTTTTTTTTAATTTAAGTTATTTGTCTGAAAGATTACGCGGTAATAAGCGGTTTACGATTTACGAGGTATTAAAAAAAACTACTTACTAGATCTCGTTCAAAACAATTTTCGTTGGTAGTTTTTATAGTAATGTACATTAATATGTTTTTTTAGATTTTTCATCTGGGGGCACGGCAGTGCCCCCACCAAGTCGAGCAAAAAAGCGGCACGGCCGTACCATCCTTTTCTCGAAGCAATTCAGGCCATTTTCGACTGCCTGTAACTTCGTTGTGGATAAAACTAGAAGGCTGAATTTTCATTAGCTATGCAGGCATTGTAAAGACACGGTATATTTAAAATTTCATTCAATTTGAACCAGTAGTTTAGGAATTATAACGGGTCAAAGTTACTTAATTTTGTCACTCACTGACTCACTGACTCACTGACTCACCGATCATCAAAACTCTAAGGCACTTCTAGCAGACCTAGAAGCTTCAAATTTGGAATATAAGTAGTGTTTGGTGTATGAATCAAGGAAAAACTAAAATATTTGGGGGCACGGTAGTGCAACCGCCAAGTCGAGTAAAATTTTTCAATTTCGGTCCAGTTTTCTAGATACATAACTGCTGTCTACAAAATACAAAAAGAAATGAGATCCCATCAAAAACAATACTTGTCAAAAAAACCAAGTCTCGCAACTCAGTTGTTCTACGGTAAAAAGTTGTGAGATCCATGTAATACCAAGTCCAGGCCAGGAAATCTTTAACGTTTTACATAAATATATTGACTTGGCCATCGCATGAAAACACGTGTAAATTAAATTATTTAGTGCGATGGCCAAGTCAATATATTTATGTAAAACGTTAAAGATTTCCTGGCCTGGACTTGGTATTACATGGATCTCACAACTTTTTACCGTAGAACAACTGAGTTGCGAGACTTGGTTTTTTTGACAAGTATTGTTTTTGATGGGATTTTCTTATTTCAGAAGTTAGAGGGGGGGGGACCAACTTTTTTCCACTTTGGAAGCGTCTGTCACGCAAACTATTCGGTTTAGAAAAAAAGTATTTTAGAAACCTCGATATCATTTTTAAAGACCTATCCATAGACACCCCACACGTGTTTTTGATGAAAAATAAATTTTTGAGTTTCAGTTCTAAGTATGGGGAGCCCCCAATATTTATTATTATTTTTTAATTTTTGCAACAAAATCTTAATGCGGTTCACAGAATACATTTACCTACCAAGTTTCAACAGTATAGCTCTTGTAGTTTCGGAAAAAAAATGGCTGTGACATACGGACGGACAGACAGACAGACAGACATGACGAATCTATAAGGGTTCCGTTTTTTGCCATACCTAAAAAAGGTTTTTTAAAAATCATTTAACCAACATGTAAGATACAACATTTATAAAGGGTGTATAACACCCGGTCTAACGCTAAACTGAGTCAGTTCCTGTGGCACGGGAGGGTGTTATTGTGACGGTCAAAAGTCAATGAAATATCCTACAGATTTGTCATAATAATAATATGTCAACGTCACCCCTCCCGTGCCGCTCCCATACCTCAGGAACAGACTGAGTTAAGTTTCCACCAAGGCGGAGCCGAGCGGAGAAGTTTCGGACCGTCAAATTATTCTATAGAATTTGACAACGACGGCGGCGCGGAGTGAAAATAATGAAATCTGATTGATTCAAATTCAAACATTTATTTGCATTGAATAGGTATTATTATACATAATATGAGGTCTTATAATATAATTTACACAGTGCTTACTATTCTGCTTACATTTTTTATGGTTATTCAAAACACTTCTCCGCTCGGCTCCGCTTTGGTGGAAACTAGGGATTGCAATCGAATATTCGAATATTCGAATTTTAATTTCAAATTAGTATTCGAATAGTAAATTTACATGTATTCGAATATTCGAATATTACAAAAATAAATAGAAAATATAGAAAGAAGACGACTTAGTGTTTGCAAATGCAGTCGGAGGCATCAGATACATATCACCAACTAAAAGAACTAGTCATTGATGCTTCCGACAGCATTTGTGAACACTAAGTTGTCTTGTTTCTATCTTTTCTGTTCATTTTTACGTAGTTGTGTTTTTTGTTTTTTCAATCATATTTTTATTATTCGCAACTTTGATACAAATAGTATAAAAGAGGCGATAGAGCGAAACCAAGATTCCAAATAATTTGAAAGAGACGACTCTATTGAGCAAATGTTAGCTGACGATGCTGAAGATGGCGGACGATAACGTCAAACAAAAGCCGAGGTACTGGGTGAGATCGAAAAGATTTATGGACAGCTAATTACCTCCAAACCTGTTAATAGCTCAGCAATAGACGCAAGAGCTAGGTTAACGCGACACTATACCAAAGACATCCCGTATATCAGCTATGGAAACCGCTGGGAAGGGGTATCTTTGTTCAACAATTACGTCGAAACTAATAGACATAGACTAATAAATTTACATTCGTTTTGTAGAATAGCTCAAATACTAATAAAACAATGCAAATAAAACATACCTTAACGACCTGGTTTTTCTTGTGTTGGAAAATAACTGAAAAAGAAGTAAAAAAGTCATGTTTTTTTCTAATTAAATCCATTCTTACTCCCTTAAAATGTATGAAACTTGTATCTGTTTTCTACTTCTGCTAATAGATAATTTTATTGGCTATCGCATGATATAAAATTTTTGCTTATTAGTGTTAAGCTACCCACGCTTTCACTTGTTTTTGAAGGAAACGGTGAAAACTAAAAATTAAAAACTTAAATCCTCGTAATTTTGCGAGAAATGGGTCAAGCCCCAAATTTGAAGTATTTTCATCGATAAAATTGTCCATAGATTACGCCCTTAAAGTTTGATCACTACAAGCCCGGACACACTGTATATAAGTTAGCAGTACCTGTCTATCCACATCCTTATCCAATAAGTCGTTGATAGTACACCCAGCGCCCCTCATAAGCCCCACACCTACTAAGAATATCCCCACTGTCTGTAAATTGACCCAGAGCGGGGCTTAGCCGGGGAGTAAGTTAATATAGAAAAGTTGACAATAATACCTGTCTATCCACATCCTTGTCCCACAGATCGTTGATAGTGCACCCAGCGCCCCGCATAAGCCCCGCACCCGCAAGGAAAAGCCCCGCGGCCTGCAGCGACGCCCCGAGCGGGACGTTCCCGGGGAGTGAGCCTAGCGCTATGGACCACGTGCACGGCCAGTACAGGAGGTACACTCCTGAAATAAAGAAGAAAGAAATATAGATTTATTACAATGGACATCACACAAATACAGGATTTAAGTGAGTGATCTTATATCAAATGGCGATGAAAGAAAGGATATGGAGCGTGCTATGCTTGGGGTTTCCCTGATCGAATCAGAAATGAGAAGATCCGAAGGAAAGCCAAAGTAACTGATAGATACCTATGGATACCAACGCAGGAGCGTTTCAGCTCGGAATGACAACTTCTCAAAATGACAACCGGGGCGCAAAATGTCCACTTCTCGAAATGACAACTTCTTAAAATGTCAACTTCGCTAAAAGACAACTTCTCATAATGTCTATTTCTCACAATGACAAATTCGCATTTGGTCAACTTTGCATAATGACAACTCTTAAAAGAACTGTAGAACTAGAAATAATGAAAAAATAAAATATCAACAAGAAGTTGACATTATGCGAAGTTGACCAAATGCGAATTTGTCATTGTGAGAAATAGACATTATGAGAAGTTGTCTTTTAGCGAAGTTGACATTTTAAGAAGTTGTCATTTCGAGAAGTGGACATTTTGCGCCCCGGTTGTCATTCCGAGCTGAAACGCCCCAGGAGGGGGCAGGGCTGCTACAGCTAGTCCCCCCCCCCCCACCTTAAAATCTGACTTGCCCCTCTAGGGCAGAAGCTGGATATGACTTGCCCCCCCTAGGCCATGCTATTATAAGCCGGGTATGACTATGCTATTGGGAGGGAGTCATATCCAGCTAGCCTAAGGGGGGCAAGTCCGATTTTAAGTCAAAAAGTTTGAATTAGTTCCTTTAATGCGACTACCAGAGAGTGCAGGAAATTGCTTTATTAAATTAAAAGTTTTCCTGTTTACTAGTGCAAGTAATTAGAGGAAAATAACATAATTTGTTGTGTTTTTGATTAATTGTCCTGCTGTTAAGAAAGATCATCGTCATATAAGCAACTGAAAACAATAAGTGATGTATCATTATAATATCCAACAATTGAAGTCTGGGACCTCTCAAAGAGACTCCCAGCTTATTTATTTATTTACTAGCTATTCCCGCGGCTTTGCCCGCTTTAAATTTTGTGTGTCACAGAAAAACAACTATCCCATTTTCTTTCCTGGAACTCAAACTCTACAGGGTGGAAACGTTAAGTGATCTCACTCAATAATTTCTAAACTATACAAGATATTGAAAAACTGGTTACTGATCCTGAAAGTACTTCAAGAGCTCTTTTAAACGGTACCAATAATAGGTTACAGAATAAACTGGATCTATCTGAAAATTCAATGTTTCCAGCTTCCATACTAAATGTATGCCAGACACACAATATTAGAAGTGTAATTTTTTTTATTTAATAATAAACTGAAAATAAACTCGTAAATTGTATTCTTATTTTAAATTATTCATGGAAAACATTGGTTTTAGGCTTTACTTGCTATAATATTGTCAAGAGATGAGTGTCATGAATGTAGTAGTACAAAATGTATGGAAAAAGGAAACATTGAATTTTTAGATAGATCCAGTTTATTCTGTAACCTATTATTGATACCATTGGATAGAGCTTGTGAAGCACTTTTAGAATCAGTAATCAGTTTTACGATATCATGTATAGTTTTTTAAATAACGTGACTTTACCAAATGTATGGAAGCTGGAAACATTAAATTTTCGGATAGATCCAGTTTATTCTGTAACCTATTATTAATACCGTTTGATAGAGCTCATGAAGCACTTTCAGGATCAGTAACTAGTTTATTGATATCTTGCATAGTTTAGAAATAATCGAGTGAGATCACTTATCGTTTCCACCCTGTATACAAAATTTCATCAAAATCGGTTCAGTGTAATATAATAATTAGTAGGGAAGTAGCCTTTAACCTGCTTGAAGAATTTATAAAAGTGCCAACAAGTTATAAAACATAATGTCAAGATATATATCAAGCCGGTTTTGACGATAATATCAATTTTTAAAATTTGATACTGTATTTGTACTTTTGACATAAGATTTTTATTTTTTTAGTTGATTTTGCCGTATTTAAAAGAAGAATTTATGTTTTTGCTTTATTTGTCTGATTTTAAGTTTTAAAAACATTAAAAACATGTTTATGTAACACATCCCAACTAATATTATAAATGCAAAAGTAACTCTGTCTGTCTGTCTGTCTGTTACGCTTTCCCGCTTAAACCTCGCAACCGATTTTGATGAAATTTGGCATAGAGATAGTTTGAGTCCCGGGAAAGAACATAGGATAGTTTTTATCCCGGTTTTTGAAACAGGGACGCGCGCGATAAAGTTTTTCTGTGACAGACAAAATTCCACGCGGGCGAAGCCGCGGGCGGAAAGCTAGTATGCAATAGTATTCATAAATAATACAATAAAATAATAGTATAGCTTTCATACAAAATTGATATATATCAAAGTTTATATATATATATCGGATATATATCATAAATATCCGATATTTTGATATTTATAATAAATATCGGATATTTTCGAACCCTGAAAATATGTACACATAAATGTAAATAAAATGGTGTTACATATTTACTTTTTTAATATATTATGTACGCTTCACTGTTATTTACAATAACTAAACACATCTGTGTTTAAATAAAATGCATTTGCATAATAAATAAACATATTTAAGTGAATAACATAACGTAAATTACCGTAAAGGTAATTTACATACATTTTTCAAGTATAGAAACAATATGTAATGTTTAACCTTGTCACTATATTATTTTGGTGGTATACTTACATAGTTTACTATGCTAGAGGTCATGGTGACGAACTCCGCATAATATTTTATGCATGAATATTTCAATTTGTGTGATATTGTTTTTGAAACATTTATATTTCTACTAGCTTTTGCCCGCGGCTTCACCCGTGTAATATTTAGTTTGTCACAAATCATCATAAATTTTAGCCTATATGTTATTCTGGATTCTGCAAGAAAGGATTTTTTCCTGGCGGCTTGGTGACTGGAATT